CAATGGTGATTACCTAGAGCTGTATAAGTTTCTTCAAAATTATGATTGGTCAACAGCCATGGAAATGACTGTGTAGATTCCGCGACTGAATCCTTAACATAGTAAGGAAGACAATCGATTTGTTTATTCCTAGGCACTTTTTTAAACCGTCTAAGTATCTCTTTTGGTTCTAGAAGGAATTAACACATTATATGCACAAGAAAAACCATTTTCATAAAAGAAGCAGCATTGACCTATGATATATGAAATTCAGTGTTTACCAACCGCTTGTTAAAAAGTTGTTTGAGCATGGTAAATGTGTTTATGAAAAAGGAATAGAAAGCAGCCTTTGCCACAAACTTAAAAAATTCTGGCAATGTGAAAGGCATCATACAAAAGAGTCAACTAGAAACACCTTTTACGTACTGGCACGGATTATGTAACTTGTCCCGAAAAGGTAGCCATTTTTAAATAATTTTAGCGATTGTTATTCTTCGGGTGTTCCCCAGAACACGAATTCTGTCAGTAGCATTGTTTGTAATGAAACTTTGTCAATCAACCAAGTTACCGTAGTACTGATGAAATCTTGGAGGTAATACAAAAACCGCATCTCCACATGGTGAATGATGTTGATTGGGGCGCGAAGCTCTGGTGGTGCTTATGTGCGTAGACGCTGAGCCGCAGCATGCCGAGCCTTTCGTTCGTTTTCATCCATGACACGCTGCGGTCAAATGCTCAAATGCGTATATAACCACGTTCCATACCACACATTCTCTTTCTGACATAAATAAAAACGAACGAAAGGCTCGGCATGCTGCGGCTCACCGTCTACGCAGGCAAGCACCACCAGAGCTTCGCCCCAATTAACATCATTCACCACGTGGAGACGCGGTTGTTTTTTTTTTTCCCTACACGAGCACGAAAGCACATGCTCACGAGCTCACAAGCAGGAGCACATGCACCCGACGGTGGACGGACATACGGACATGGCTAGCCCCTAGGGAACTTCGCCCCTAAAATTAAAACCAAAGCAAGCTTCTGGTGCAGATTTAATACTAGTTTTATTGGTAAGGGCTGTGCTGATATTTTAGCCGCTTTACTAGAACATATATTAAATATTTCGCTTAAAAAAAGGTGTTTTTCCAAGTCTATGGAAAAAGTCTGTCGTTGCACCAATACACAAAGCTGATGACATGTCTAAGATAGAGAACTACCACCCTGTATTGTTACACGGTACTTTTTTTAAAAGCTTTTTGAAATATAGATGTACACCCATGTTTATTTTTATTTCTTTCAGAAACTAAGCACCGTTTAACATGGATTTGTAAGAGGTCGTTTGGTATAGACAAACCTTTGTGCTGTTTGTTGTTGCGCGAGGGCAAGTCGATATTGTTTATTTTGATTTATCGAAAACCTTTGATAATGTAAATCACAGATTCCTTCTAGATAAACTATCTTTATATGGTGTGTCACCACTACTTTTATTGTGGTTCAGCAGTTATCTGAATGATGGTCAAAGAAACGTATGTTTCTTGAATAGCTTATCAGGCGTTTCTGTACTAACTTCAGGTGTACCTCAAGGGTCAAACCTTGGGCCACTTCTTTTTCTTTTATTTATTAGTGATATTGAATCTTGTGTAGTGTAAGGAATGCTTGACAATATCAAGCTTTATTAAAGAATTCAGTTGACGAATGATTGTGTTCTTTTACAAGATTATGCTGCCTGCATCCCAGGGTGGTGTTTTGATAACTTATTAGTGGTCAATCCAAATAAAACAAAACTTCTGACGAAGTGTAGAAAACGTGAAATTATTTCTTATCCATATCTACTTGGCAATACTTCAACTGAACGTGTTCAGAAAATCCGTGACCTAGGTGTTCATTTTGACAGCTACCTTTTTTTTTCATACCATGTAACCCAAACCGTTACGTCTGCTTCTCGAATATTAGAAATCATATCCCGCCTAACACATGATTTTTTTAACCCTTTAACCACTCAACCCGGGCTGTACTCGTCATGGAAGGTTGTACCAATATCGCCGATGACGAGTCACACTTGTCCAGCCAAAATGATGGTTTGCTTTCACTGCCAAACACGAGACAGGTTCGTCCATCGGCTTTAGTTTCAATTTTTAACACTGGACGGCAGGAGAGGTCGCGCAAATATAGCGTGTTTTGGCCTTTGGTGCGTATCTAGCCTTGCAACAGTGATCAGAGATGGCAGCGCGCTTGAGTGATGCCGGTGACGGTCTTCGGAAACGGGCTCTCTCTTGCGGCAGTTCGAACAGTAGTGACGATGAAGACATCAAATTTGTCTCTAAAAGTGAGTCGGACATGACGATGACCTCAGTGACGAATTAGACGACGCGCTGGGTAGTGTTCGAGTGTGGCAATGCGTAAATGCTGAAAACCCGCCAGCCGCACCTCCGAGGTTTCCGTTTTGTGCAGTGCCTGGGATTCTGCGGCAACCCACTGACGAAAAAGACATTCTCAACTGGTTCGAGGTTTTTTTTTTTTTTGTTTTTTTTTATTGGGATTTTCCCAACTTCATTGTGACAGAGACAAATCGCTATGCGGTTCCGCATTCCCCAGCACGGGGTTCTTGATAGAAACCGGTGGACCGCGAAGAGATGATGGTGCTCCTTGCGCTAATAGTTCTGCAAGGAATCATTACTTACGGAACTTTGTTCGCGCTACTACAGAGAAACGTCTAGGCACTTGATCTTTTGTTATGGTGCATATTTTCAAATAAATACTGCACATTTCAGCATGTGTCATTCTCACTCTTACATGCACTGAGGGAAAGCTTCCATATAAATCAACATTTTCTTTTAAAATTTTTCTGTTAATACCTATCAGAAACCAATCAAGTAATGTAATTGCAAAATCAGAACCACATAAGAAAAGATATGTGCAAATAAAAAATTAAGGAAAGTTTGTACATTTTTTATAAAGATTACTTGGTGGTTAAAGGGTTAATCCGCTGTGTGTCCTTAGTTTGTTTTGTTCTTTGGCTCGTGGTTGGCTCAAGTTTTGTAGTGGCGTATGGAATTCGCCGACGGTAACAGACGTAGCAAGGATCGAAAAAGTTCAGAGACGATTTATTCGCATTGTGTATGACAGATATTTTCACAGGAGATGTTTATTTAACTATGAATACATCCTTAAAGTTTCTTTACACGACTTGTCGAAAAGAAGAACTGCTCATAATCTTTTACTTTTACAGAGAGTGGTTCATGGACATGCAGATAGTACTTTGTCGTCATCAGTACAATTTCATGTTCCGGCACGTGTTTCTAAATGTTCATGCATATTTTACCCTTCTATTGAAGCAAAATTGTCACCATTAATAAGAATGCAGAACTGTTTGAATAACCTGTCTCCTCATGTGATGTATTTTCAGATTTGTCTGATTTTAAAAAGGAGCTTGAGTTGCACCTTTTTGGCTCTTAATGTGCATGGCATTCTCGTTGAATGTGATTATTAACCTGGACTGTGTTTTGATTTTGATTTATGTGCCATCATATTCTGACCGACTGGTTGTTCTGGGGCATCAAAGAGATAAAGCATCATCATAATCATCATCATTATTATTATTTTTATTAATATTATTATCACACCAGCCTGGCAAGCAAAAGCACGATAATGAAAGCATTCCAGCATAAACGGTTGCGTAGTTGCACCACATTAACATGATAACAACAAACAAGCAACCTATACGTCACTGGAGTACTGCACGGGCCCACTTTTTGAGGCCTGGCGCGGCCCGGGTTCGCTGACTCTTACTCTTACCCGACTCGGGCCCGGCCCGATGGGGTGCCTACCGGATCAGGCATGGGCCCGGCCCAGTGAGAGATCAAGCGTGCCTCATCTCTTAAATTCAAAGCTACCTTGGGAAGATGTTGAAGCATTTGATTTGTTTACTAATTTGCATGAAGGACGCTGTCAAATATAGCAGTCACGTGGTGAACATTTGAAAGCTTATACAAATATAAAAGACATAGCTTATCTTTAGTAGCTAGAGGGTGTTTTTTTTCTTTTTAAAGGGTTGGAAAGGTAAGAGAAAGACAATCGTAATGTCCCCTGTGACCGGATTGCTTTTGTTTTCTTGCCTGCTGGCTGTTGTCCCGGTATGCTGATGGAATCTCCAGGATTCTCCATATCTTCTTGTCGGCTTTCTTAGTCCAGAACAGCTTTCTTTTTGTTTAAGATTATTTTAGTGGTGTCGTAACGCGTTGGCACATCGGCTTTTTCGTTTTTTTCAAGTCTAAAGGACCAATGCGTTAGCATTTTCTACTCAATGTTTTAATAAGTGTGCTGCACCATCGCCCCAACCCGCCCCGGGCCCTGAAACAATCCATACCACCCGGCCCAGGCCCAGCCCTAAAAGCAATCCGTGCTACTTGGCCCAGGCTTCGCCTGAACCCGGAAACAACCCGTGCTACCCGGCCAGGGCCCAGCGCACGGGCCGGGCCCAGGTCTTCGGGTTGGTTCGGCCCCCATGCAGAGCTCTATATGTCAATACATTACACAAAGCATGAGCAGGGAGTGTCACTTTGTAATTAAGGTTTGTTTCCTGGTGGGACCGTTTGTGGCACACAATAAGCAAGGAACTGACCAACCTTGCCGGTTTGTTGGTGCTTGTCAATTATGTTTGTCTCTATACTCATTGTCACCAGGGTAAAAAATTAAGTTTTGTGCTTAGTGGCTGTGCTGTGCCAAGTAGTGCTTAGAAAATCTGGTTGTCAAAGAAATAAACCATGTCAATTCTGTTTGAAATGCGCACATTTCAATAAGATAACAAGTAAATGGTCTTAAAACAAGTATAATAAATTCATCATATAAAGGGAAAATCAGTAACACTCTGCAAGTAGGCAAATTTTATTCACTGTGGCTCTCGAAGTGAAAACGAATATAAGTGGGAAGGTCCAGGGATCATAGCTTCTGCACCAAGGAAACCACTCGTGACAGCGCAGCTGTCGATAGTATTTGCAAGGGTGAGAAAGTCGTACAAAAATTACCTCTTGTAGAAATCTCTTCTCAAGGAGATGTCCATGACCTTGTGTCGTACACAGCTTCAAGCAGTTTCCAGCGCGTTCCCAAATGCCTGGCAGGTGAAAAGTGTGACGCTCCGAAGTCACTACTTCAATAACCTGAGGTCCTGAAATTAAACACATTTTACATTCAAGCTCAAACTTTCCCATTCAAAATTATGCCAGAAAAACAAGACTGACAAGACAGGACTATACTGAGGCATTAGCTGTGCTTGCTAAGAGCAACTCGTACAATGAGAAAAAGAAAGAAGCTATCTTAAAAGGGCAAAGCAAATGCTATTGGGATAGGATATTTCACACTTCACAATAGTCTACTCGAACTAGATGTAGCATTCTAAGTTGGGCATCCTGGGTGGCACCATTTTAATGACTATAGTGCTATCCATTTTCATCCGGCTTGCTGACTGCTCACTAGTGGACTGTTACCTGGACCAAGTGCGCATTGCATGGCAGTATGTGGTGCCCTCAGAAATTGCTCTTTCTGGTCTGGATGTCCTCGAGGCTCAATTTCATTAAATTTATTCATGGTGCTAGAGAGACTTCAAGATCTAGTGCACCTTTCCTATCTTCGAGAATGTCAAATGGCAGCTGGTTCCGTCGGCGCGGCCGAGATATCTGGATCATTCTCTTCGTCGACGTGCAAGCTTTGAGCTGGCTTTGCTAGGTTTGATTGTCCTTATACTCTTTGTCTTTTCAGTTACTCAGGGGGCATTTGCTTCTGCTTTATGTTGCCGCGATGCCATTGTTTGAAAATTCTAGCAGGGCATTGTTTGGTTGACCTTTGACAAAATTGTGGCCTTTGGAGGTTTCTTTGTAAATTTGACTAGCCGTTCGCTGTGTTCAAAGGCCTAAGAACGCGGTTTGCGAGGAAATAAAATTTGGCTATGTTTAAAGCTTAGTGTTTGTGCCGTCCCTCCCAACGCTCCAGGGTTACAATGTCTGCCCTCAACCAGTTTGCTTCGCATAACTGCAGTGACTTCACGAATGCAGGTGTTGCTTTATATTTTTCGTAAATTATTCAAGCAGTCAACCATCTGCATTGACGTGTTAACGGTAAATTAACATAAAAAAAGCTCTAGAAATGATTAAGTTGTGCACGTCCGACGCTTCAATTGCGGTGGTGCGTTTTAGTTCCGTACCAGATATGGCCTGCCCATTACTATGCAAAGACAAATACAGGGTGTCCCAAGCGGATTTTTGGCTGTAAAACGAGCTGGAAAAACCAGCTCTGGCACAAAAGAAGCTCAAACTTTTATCAAATGTGCACTGAGCAGGTCAGTTTTACCGTGTGAAATTTCAATCTGCAGTTCTCTTCCTCTAAAAAATGGGAGCAAAAAACTTGCAAAAGTCGGGGTTGGGCATGTTCACCAGCAAGGTAGAGGGCCTTAGAGCGGTAAACTGGCAGCTGAAATTGACCCTTAATTGGCCGCTACAATGATTCCCCTTTTGTGACCACTAGACATGACTTTTCCAAATCCTAAGGCTTTTATGCAAAACTGAGCAGAGATTTGTATTGCAATCACCGTAAAAAAACATGATAAACATTTTTTTCAATACTGTTAGCCCCAGAGATCAGTGTCTAGCTCCACTAAAACCCCAAAATACAGCACCACGGCTGACAGCATCTAACGGAGGCATTGCGACGCTGCCCAAGTTTTTGTCGTAGAAGCACATTTTGGACTTAATTAAACAAACCAAACATACCTTATCTCGTCGGTAATGTTATTATCAATAAGCGATTAGTATTTGTGAGCAGTACTTCATTAAAATCGAGATGTAAAACTATAAGGTCATGTGTCTAGGGGTCAAAAATGTCCAACATGGCGGCGGCCAATTGGGGCTCACTTTTGCCTAGTGAACAGGATACCAGTTTATTGCTCTAGGTCCCTCTACCTCGTTGGTGTTCACAGAGAACCGAGTTAGCGATGCTATTTACTTGTGGCACCATCTCCCGATGGGCGCAGCGAGTAGACGACGCATTCTGTTGTTTGCTCGTTGTGCCAATTGGAAGATGGCGCCACAAGTAAACAGCGTCCAAAGCTGTCTATAGGAATATTCACTGGCGGCCATAACTGAGTGTGCGACTGCTGAGCGCGTGCTGATGGCGCGCTTCCACGGTTCTTTTGTACCGTGCATTCCGCACCCTCAAGATTGCCGGTCTCAGCAGCCTATTAATGTGGGCTCGTTCTAAGCATGCGCTCTAGACAGCACCCACAAATATGGCGCCCAGTGAATACTCCTTATACTGGAAGAGTTTGGCATTGTTCTGAACATGTTGACAGTCTAGCAACCAAGACCAGAGATCTGGCAACCAAATGTTTTCCCCCCCCCCCCCATACTGTGAGAGTATTACGAAATCATGACCCATTCTGGAGTAGACACAATTGCTCGCACTTCTTTATCTGCAACAATCTCTAAAAATATAATGGTCTTTCATTCCCTTTTTTTGTCCTTTTCTAGCTAGATTTAGCGGGTCATAAGCTCCACACATCTGCCGAGCTCTCTCAGTATAAACGGCTCTGACAGCGTCACTAACTCGGTCGTCTGCGAATCCGCCCAACCTTGACTTTTGGCAAGTTTTTTTCTTCCATTTTTTACAGGAAGAGAGCTGCACCTTGATATTTCACACGTCAAAACTGACCTGCTCAGTGCACATTCGGTGAAAGTTTGCCCATTTCTCCGGCTCGTTTTACAGCAGAAGGTCCGCTTGGGACACCCTATATAGCCACCAAAACAAGCGAATCAGCTGTTCTGAAGGCCTAAACTGTGCTTTGCTCGCACTTCGGTTGTAGCCCAGCATGAGCATTGGCACGAGATTCTTGACAGTTCACTGGTCGTTAGAAAAACATGGTGCGAACGAATGCAGCTGCTTTTTGACAGCGAAAAGTCTTTGTGATTTAAATTCAATAGCCACCGGTAGGTCCGGATCGGTGGGGAACCGGTCTGGAGTAAATGTGCCGCTTCCAGACTGATTCCGTTTGACGTCCTGGGCCATACACCCCATTTTCACATTTCATTTACATATTTCTCGTTGTGATCTACACAACCAATGACACTGCAATGCTGTCTGATCAATTTTGTTCCCACATATGACATGGTATGCAAAAAAGAACAACAATATTAACCTAGCCCAACGTTCAAATCATTCTTGGAAATGCTTACATCCTTGCGCCACATACTTGCCAGTTTCCCAACTATTACTAGCACTCTCTCTGAAGAGAAGACAACATTTTGAGAGAAAGTGTAAGGGTTGCACTTTCCGACCAGGTGGCACTCCTTACTTTTGAGATGTCGTCCGTTTCTCTGAAGAGACTGCTATACTTTGTTTCACGTTAAAAAAGTGCATCGTACGGTGCTCTCTGTCTTTGCGAGTCTGCCATCACCGACTAAAAAGAGGATCACACCGCATTCACTGTGCACGCTATGTTTAGCCAGCGATTACAAACATACGAAAATGACGAGCAACAGCCGTGAAGACGCACTTTTGGGGGTTTGACACTCCATCAGACTGAATTGCTGGCTGCAGTTTGACTTAATATAAAACATAGTGTAGGAACAGTTGGAGATTTGCACGTGCTGACTTAAATGAAAAACTGTACACTGGCATGCAATGTCACTGACCCAGAGGTGCCTTTGTCGCCGTGTAATTTCGAGGGTAAAAGCAGGCTTTCTATTACGCTCTGCTTCGCAAAGCTGGACGACGTATAGTTGTGGGGACTGAAATGTTGACATGGTGCGTGGATTACCCTTTATGATAATAGTGGAATGCGGTTCGTGGATTGGACACGGGCACTGCGTGAGCACTCGACTTGGGCTCGACGAACATTCAGCCAGTGGCTCGTGTTCAATCGCTGCAATGACGGAAGCAGCCAAACTCTAACAATGTCTGGAGCTCAGCACGCGACCTATGCTTTGCCAACCCCTCCGCGTGGCTATGTCGAATACTGGCAGCATATGATCGGTAGATTCGGTACCATATTGTGACGATGCTGCCAGTAAAGTTGTGCCTCGGTGGCACAAGAAATGAAGATGTGTCGGGCATTCTAGGCCAGTACATGCGCTGAAACAATGTTCTACGTTCTTTCTGTCACCCGCCTTCCTCCGGTAACAACATAACAATTGGCGGCGAGGGTAAAACGTACATCAATGTTTTACGTCGAGTGACCTCTACTGCCCAGCCCTAGACTGCCGATGTATGGAATCTTTGAAACCTTCGATGGGGAACCAGCACAGTGGTCCGAGTACATAGAACATGCCGCACTGTTCTTCGATGCAAACAGCATTCCTCTTGCAAAGAGACGGCCAGTTTTTCTGACATCTAACGGTTCCAAAATATACTTGTTTCTTTGGAAATGTCTGACCCCTAAGGTACCAAAAAAGGTAAGCATAGAGAAGATTTTCTATGTCCTCAGCACCCATTTCACTCCCAAACCCTCCGTGGTGGTCTGCCGCTGCAAGTAAAATAGTCGATACCGACAGACAGGAGAAGCTATCAGCAATTACACTGCTGTACTCAGGAAACTCACTAAACACTGTGGGTGTTGAACATCCTTGAACGGCATGCTTCGCAACAGGCTTGTCCATGGAATCAATGAGGCTACAATGCAGACACAGTTGCTTGATAAGTCCAATTTGACGTTTAAGTTCGCTATCCAGCTAATTATTAGCGATGGAAACCGCGAAGAACAATTCCAGCTTACTAATAAAACAATGGATGAGTCAAGAAGTGGCCGAAACTATCAACATAGCCAAGCTCCCACCAAAGATCATCACCTGCTATTGCTGTGGAGGACCACATTAGGTGTATGCTTGCAAGCATTTAAAAACAAGATGCAATGCATGCCAAAAGATGGGACACCCTGCGAGCATATGCAAGTCCAAGAAGCAGCAAGGCCAATCCAGCAGTTTCAGACAGCAAAAAGACCATCACAGGTGCCATTGCCATTGACAATTCAGAAGAAACGTCTAGGAGCCATGAACCCGTGACATACCACATGTGGTCCTTAAAACCTTCAACGTCCTCACTTTTATACATAGCCGCAGTGCAAGTGGCAGGGCAACGACCTTAGATGGAAGTGGACACCGGAGCCAGTGCCTTCATAATCGG